ACGGAGAGCTCATCACAGTCAGAAGTGCCACGCTGGATTTCCAGCTAAAAACTGCTGGGCTCACCCTGGGAGCATTCCCAACCGAGAAGATTCATAACCTGCAAGGCCAGAAGGGACCATTGTGTTCATCTAGTCTGCCCTGTATACCACAGGCCAGAGAACTGCCCAAAATAATTCCGAGGGCAGATTTTTTAGAAAAACACCCAAACTTGGTTGAAAATTGCCTGTGATGGAGAATCCATCATAACCCTGGGAATTGTTGCAATGGTTAATTATTCTCACTGTTAAACGTTCACACCTTATTTCCAGTCTGAAATTGTCTTCTTTCAACTTCCAGTCACAGGATAATTTTAGACCTTTCTCTGCTAGATTGAAGAGCCTGTTATTAAATATTTGTTCCCTTGGTAGGTACTTACAGACTGTGATCAAGTCACCCCTTACCCATCTCTTTGGTAAACTAAATAGGTTGAGCACCTTGAGTCTATCACCATAAGGCAGATTTTCTAATCATTTAATCATTCTTGTTGCTCTTCTCTGACCCCTCTCCAGTTTATCAACATCCCTTGTGAATTGTGGGCACCAGAACTGGACACAGGATCCCAGCAACGGTCGCACCAGTGCCAAATACAGAGGTAAAATCCTACTCGAGAGTCCCCTGTTTATTCAGCCAAGGATCGCATCAGCCCTTTTGGCCACAGCATCGCACTGAGAGCCCATGTTCAGCTGATTCTCCACCATGACCCCCAAATCTTTTTCAGAGTCGCTGCTTCCCAGGAGAGAGTCCCCTATTCTGTACGTGTGGCCTGCATTCTTTGTTCCTAGTTGTATGCATTTGCATTTAGCTGTATTAAACTGACACAGCCCAGGGATCAACACTGCTGTGAATCAGATTCATGATAGGCTGCCCATTCAAACGCCGCCACCCACTAGCCACCTAGCGCTCACTGGCACGTGGGCCCGAATATGTTGTTGTTCAGCAGAAGATGGGCGTGGGCAGCTTAGGAGAGGTGTGTCACTCTCCCGGAGGTGCGCATCTACTGGGTGTAGCTCTTGGGAATTGGTCCTGCTTTGAGCAGTGGGATGGACTAGATGACCTCCTGAGGTCCCTTCCAACCCTGATATTCTATGATTCTATGATCCCTTGCCAACAGGTTCACAGTGCAGAAGGGACAGGTGCCTTGCCGTGTCTCCTCCAAAGGCTGGTGATGGGGCCTGAGGACAAAGGTAACCCAAGCTAGAGGAGGTCATGGGATTGTAGCACACCTCACCCCATACCCCCCTCCTACCACTGATCCCTGCTTGGGTGTGCCAGCACCTGGCAATTCCTGTTACTTAACTGGAATTCCTGCATCCTCTGCTCTTGTTTACTTCTAATTAAAGACGTGTCTTTGTTACCTCTTCATTCTGCCCCCTTCCCATCTCCGCCCCCTCCCCATCTCTCTCTAATCCAACACTAAAAAAAAACCGAGGAGTCCTTGTGGCACCTTAGAGACTAACAAATTTCCCTAAGGTGCCACAAGGACTCGGTTTTTTTGCTGATAGAGACTAACATGGCTACCACTGAAACCTGTCATAATCCAACACTGGGGAGTTCCCTAGGGCACTTTCCCCTAGTGTCCCAGCCTCCTGCTCGGCCATGCTATCTGCTACAGGTACCAAGGTGACGGAGGGGGGGAGGACGGGGGAAGGACACAGGGACTGTCAGGGGAAGAGATATCTAAGCCACTGATGCATGGAGTAAGATTTAGATACTTTGTCCACCACAGGGCTCCCAGGGGTGACCATTGAAACAGGCTTGCAGTGAAGAGATGTGTGGTTGCTAAGCCGCCTGTACCCAGCACTGAAAAGGAGATCCAGGGTGGGCTGGAGCCAAGCCAGAAACCCCCTGGAACAGTGGTTCCCAAACTTGAACAACTCGTGAACCCCTTTCACGAAAATATCAAATCTTGCAAATTCCCTCCTAATAATGAATATTTCCAGGGATTTTTCTCCCTTACCTGAGTTGTAAATTATAGAAGCAGTGATCTTGAAATAAACAAATGATTTATGACACGCTTATTACACACTATTTATTATTTCATTATTATTAATTTTATTACATTATGAAAACGGCAACACTCTTCCAAGATTTCACTCTTGTGGCTCATATCCCTTCGATTAAGCCTCCTACATGTTTCATCATGAAACAGCATGAAGGTATTTAAGAAGTGCCTCCCACAAGCATTCGGATCTTGAGCAGTCTAGGCAAACAACGCACGACTACAACAAAGCTTAAACTTGTTCTGCCATGTAGTCGTGGTCACGGGGTTGGAGCTGCCGGCCCCCGCGCCCCACAGGGCCTGGGGTCCCTCTGTCCGCCATTACAGAATTTTTTTCTGAGAACCCCCTGATACATTTTGCAAACCCCCAAGGGTTCACGAACCCCAGTTTGGGAACCACTGCCCTAAAATAATACTGCTGATATCAAGGCCAGATGGCCCCAAGCCAACATGAGTATCATCAACGGCACAGCTCTCAGACTTACCCCCACACAACTCATCTGGGCAACTCCAGTGCCAGGACTGACAATGGCTCAGTCAGCGCAGGCAGGGGAGCGGGGGAGCACCCTGCACATCAGTAGATCCCCAGAGTCATTTTATCCCAGGTCTCACAAGGGAGGTGGACACACGGACCTGACTTCACCATTCCCTCCACCTGAGGTCAAAGCACAGGGTATACCTATACCAGGTAGCCTGCCACCCAGAGCTGAGCCCGTGCAGGGCCAGCTCATGTGATCCAGCTGGGTCTCGGTAACACAGGAGAGGTTGGGGCACGGCCGGCGATGGATTTATTCACAATAACCAATCTGAGCAGCCGGTTTGGGACCCTGCCCCACGCTGCCCCAGGCTCCTGGGAGACGATCTCAGGCAAAAGTATTACTTCCCCATTGCTCTGATTTTTCAGAAATATAATTGCTCTGTTATACTTACCCAGTTTTTCCTACATAGTTGTACTGTGCATCATCTTTACGGTATGAAATTGCATTGAAATGAATAGGACTCGTGCTCTGTTGATTTCAAAGCTGCCCCTCTATCCATGGTAGTGTGGTGATGCCTATGCTAGTGTGACAGACCCAGACCAGTGGGGTATAGGAGTCTGGTAGAGGGCAAATATACTGGTCACTGGATGAGTAGTTTTCTGTTCCCTGAGTGACCAGAGCAGGGGCTGCACTAGAGTAATCAGGAACCTGCTAGAACCAGTTAAGGCAGGCAGGCTAATTAGGACACCTGGAGCCAATTAAGAAGAAGCTGCTAGAATCAATTAAGGCAGGCTAATCAGGGCACCTGGGTTTTAAAAAGGAGCTCACTTCAGGTTGTGGTGTGAATGTGAGGAACTGGGAGCAAGAGGTGCAAGGAGCTGAGAATGAGAGGGTGTGCTGCTGGAGGACTGAGGCGCACAAGCGTTATCAGACACCAGGAGGAAGGTCCTGTGGTGAGACTAAGGAAGGTGTTTGGAGGAGGCCATGGGGAAGTAGCCCAGGGAGTTGTAGCTGTCATGCAGCTGTTACAGGAGGCACTATAGACAGCTGCAGTCCACAGGGCCCTGGGCTGGAACCCGGAGTAGAGGGCGGGCCTGGGTTCCCCCCAAAACCTCCCAATTGACCTGGACTGTGGGTTCTCCCAGAGGGGAAGGTCTCTGGGCTGTTCCCCAACCCACATGGTGAATCTCTGAGGCAAGAAAATCCGCCAATAAGCGCAGGACCCACCAAGATAGAGGAGGAACTTTGTCACAGCTAGGCATTCAGGGTTAAACAGCTCTGCTCTATCACGTACCTAGTTGAGGTTTGTACTCTGATTTCAGCACACAGTGCTAGTATAACAGTGTTACCATTAATATGTTCCCTACAGTCCATGGGGTTTTGGGGGTTGGACTAGATGACCTCCTGAGGTCCCTTCCAACCTTGATATTCTATGAAAGAACATATAATACCTGGCCCATGTCTGCAGCTGATGGCCAGGTGATAGTTCCCTGAGGGACATGACATCATAGATTGACAGCTGTCCAGGGTGCTGCATGGCTGAGCTGGAGAGGTCGCAAGAAGTGAGGTGCAGTGCTGTACTGTCCTCGGCTATGGGCTGGCGGAAAAATCCTGGAGAAGGAACCTGTGGGGGTGTGGGGAAGAAGTCGGAGGAAAGGGGAGAAGGGGGGATGAGAATCCATAGGGAAGGGGGAGAAGGGACAAGACAGGGAAACTTGGGGGGAGGAGGGACGTGAGAGGAGAGCCTTGGGAGTGGGGAACGACTGTGAGAGGGGAACTTGGCGGGAGTGGGAGTCTGGTGAGAAGAACCCCTAGGGGAGGTGGGGATATTTGGGGGGACAATGTTTAGTTTTTCCAGAAGCCCCAGCTCCTGGAGTCCTGTTAACACCGGAGAATCTCAGCTTTCATGCCAAAGAATAAAAGTTTTAGCCCTCCTGTTTGCCGAGGGTTGTGTCAAGACACCCCTGCCACGTGCCTGAGCACTGGAGTCATGCCGGCCGGAGAGCGCAGAGTGGTGTCTGTGGGTCAGGGTTAGCCGGCTAGGTCTGGATTCCACAGGCACAAAAGACACTGTTGTCTTTAAAAGGGGAAAGTCTCTTACCCAGCACAAAAGCAGCCGAGTAAATGGCTGAGAGCTGGGGAACTAACAACAGCTGCACTTGAAAGGGGAACTGGTGGCAGAGACACGAAGCAGGGGGGTGAGCCAGTAGCAATGCTCCTGCACACTCACCCCTTGGCAGGTGCATGCTACTTCCTCTTCCTTGCCAGCTCCTCACATCATCGGCACCGACTGCGGCTCTGGGACGGCAATGCCAGCGTCCCTGCCATAGGGAACCATACCTTCATGGGTTAATCAAAGCACACCGGTGGCAGGAGAGAGACAACCCGCCCACATTCTGTGCCTGCAGCTGGAAACGAAACTTAAAGAGTCACAGGGAGCCGCCTGGAGTTACCACAAGCAGCAGCGTTGGACAAGGTCAGCATGGCTTTCCAGCAGCCTATTCTGAACCCGGTGAGTGAGGCTAGGTGGGAGCTGAACACCTGGAGATGCACGCGGCCTTCTCTGCAGGAGACATCTGTCAGGGCTAGGGTGACCACATAGCAAGTGTGAAAAATCGGGACGGATGGGAGAGGGGGAATAGGGTCCGGTGTGGGGGGAAAATAGGGCCCTATATAAGACAAAGCCCCTAATATCGGGATGGTCCAGATAATATCTATCTGGACATAATATCAGGATGATCCAGATAATATTGGGACATATTTCTATCGGGTGGATAGAAAGCTGGCTAGATTGTCGGGCTCAACGGGTAGTGATCAATGGCTCGATGTCTAGTTGGCAGCCGCTATCAAGCGGAGTGCCCCAGGGGTCGGTCCTGGGGCCGCTTTGGTTCAACATCTTTATTAGTGATCTGGATGACGGGATGGATTGCACCCTCAGCAAGTTCACAGATGACACTAAGCTGGGGGGAGAAGTAGATATGCTGGAGGGTACGGATAGGGTCCAGAGTGGCCTAGACAAATTGGAGGATTGGGCCAAAAGAATTCTGATGAGGTTCAACAAGGACAAGTGCAGAGTCCTGCACTTAGGAAGGAAGAATCCTATCACTGCTACAGGCTGGGGACCGACTGGCTAAGCAGCAGTTCTGCAGAAAAGGACCTGGGGATTACAGTGGACGAGAAGCTGGATATGAGTCAGTAGTGAGCCCTTGTTGCCAAGACGGCCAACGGCATTTTGGGCTGCATTAGTAGGAGCATTGCCAGCCGATCGAGGGAAGTGATTATTCAGCACTGGTGAGGCCACACCTGGAGTATTGCTTCCAGTTTTGGTCCCCCCACTACAGAAGGGATGTGGACAAATTGGAGAGAGTCCAGCGGAGGGCAACGAAAATGATTAGGGGGCTGGAGCACATAACTTACGAGGAGAGGCTGAGGGAACTGGGCTTGTTTAGTCTGCAGAAGAGAAGAGTGAGGGGGGATTTGATAGCTGCCTTCAGCTACCTGAAGGGGGTTCCAAAGAGGATGGATCTAGGTTGTTCTCAGTGGTGGCAGATGACAGAACAAGGAGCAATGGTCTCAAGTTGCAGTGGGGGAGGTCTAGGTTGGATATTAGGAAACACTATTTCACTAGGAGGGTGGTGAAGCACTGGAATGGGTTCCCTAGGGAGGTGGTGGAATCTCCTTCCTTAGAGGTTTTTAAGGCCCAGCCTGACAAAGCCCTGGCTGGGATGATTTAGTTGGGGTTGGTCCTGCTTTGAGCAGGGGGTTGGACTAGACACCTCCTGAGGTCTCTTCCAACCCTAATATTCTGTGGTTCTATGATCTGGTCACCCAGTCAGGGCCCCAACAGAGAGAAACTCCCCAGACGCAATGGCCCAATACTGGGAGACACAGCAGAACGCCTGCAGTAGGGCCCTGTGAAAATTACTACCCCCCACTGGCCAGTGCAGGGCTTGTGCAGCTGGGGGCATGGGACTAGTGTACGATTCCTCTGCTGCCCTTAAAACTGTGGGGTGGTTTCTTCCAGATTGTCCCCTTTTCTGGACCCATCTTTGGAGGCCTGAGTGAAGGGAAGATGGTGTTAATCCAAGGAATAGTTCAACCCTTCGTGAAAAGGTTGGTGCTATTTTCCCCATCCTGTGCTGCGTCTCACCCCCTTCCCCCACCAGCACTCCATCTGGACTCTGCTCAACCACACCCCTGTGCTATCAGCACACAACAGCTCTCCACTATCCCTCCCTCCTCACTCACCAAGTCCCCCTCACCTCCTTCACCGTCCCACTAACTCTGAGCTGTCCTTACGGTCATCCTCCACCAGCACGGCTTCTCCACCAGGCTCCTCCTGGCTGCTGTTATGGGTCATCCCCTCCACTGGCCCCTCTCTCTCCCCAATCTCCTCTCTCTTCCTGGCTCCTTTCCCTCCCGCTTAGCTGCACAAGGCATGACTCTATTCCCCATGCTAAACCACCTCCCCTGAATCACCTGCCTCTCAACAAACTCCTCAGCTCTCACTCCTCCACCATGGTTTCTACTCCCACTGCCCCAGCTCTCTGCAAAGGACTATGGGTCACTGTGAAACCCAGCTTCCAGAGCAATGCAGCGGCTGAGAGGGTGAAGGTGTTCCTTGGAGGTACGAACAGGGGAAGAGGAAGCAAAGAGGTGCTGTCATCTCTATATGGCAGTGATGAGACCCTCACTGGGTACCAGGACCAGCTTGGTGTCCACACTTCAAACAGGTTGACTCACAGTTTCAGGACTTTAAGGCCAGAAGGGACCATTACATCATCTAGTCTGACCTCATGTGTAGTACAGGCCATCGCATTTCACCCAGTTACCCCTGCATTGAGCCCAATCATTTGCATTTGCTAAAGCACCTTCCTGAAAGGCAGCCAGTCTGGGTCTGAAGACATCAAGAGATGAGAATCCACCACTTCCCAGGACTTTCTTCCGATGGTTAATCAGCCATTTGACCGTAATTTCTAATTTTACATTAGTCTGGCTTCAGCTTCCATCCACTGGTTTTTGTTCGGCCTTTCTCCACTTGGTCAAAGAGCCCTCTAGTAGCCGGTATTTTCTCGTTGTGAAGGTGCTTGTGTAACGTCAACAGACCCTGGTCGTCGGCGGGCAGGATTGAACCAGGGCCCTCTGTAGTTTAATGCATGAGTCTCCACTGCATGAGCCAAAAGCCAACTGGCTGTTAGCTAAGGCTGCAGAGTAAACTCATTAATCTCTCTCTTTCTCTCTAAGTGGTCTCGGTGCCACTAGATATACTGAACACCACACCCAGGAGGGGTGTGGGTTACACTTGTGCACTGTCACCAAGTCACCTTTTGATCCTTTGTGATCAGACAGATTGAGCTCCTTCAGTCTCTTCTTGCCAGGCATTTTCTCCAGCCGTTAAATCATGTTTGTGTCTCTTTTCTGCACTTTCTCCAATTTCCACCGTCCTTTTTACCATGTGGCAACCAGAATGAGGCGCAGTCTCCGGTATCCATCTCACCAGTGCCAATGTTGACAGAAAGGGAAGGTTCAGAAAAGAGTGACAAGGACAATCCAAGGACAAGCTGCCGCACAGGGCAGGACTAAGGGAACTCAGTTTATTTAGTTGCTCCCAGAGAAAGCAAACAGGTGACTTGATCACGGCGCACAGATGACGAAAGTCTCTTTAATTTCACAAAGGCAGAACAAGGTCCAGTGGCTGCAAGGTGAAGTGAGACAAATCTAGGCTGGAAATAAGGAACTAATTTTTAATAGTGATGAGAATTAACCATTGGAACAATTTACTATACGCACGTGCAAACACACACACACACACACACACACACACACACACACACACACACACATGCTAGCCCTCCTTTGCCCCCCCATGAGCCCCATGCCCCCTCCCCCCATTGAGGCAGGGCTGCCCCCATGGGCTCCATGCCCCTTTCCCCCATAGGCCTTATTCCCCCTCCCCCTTAGGCAGGGCTGCCCCATGACTCCCATCCTTCCTCCCTCACCTCACCCGAAGCAGTGCCTCTCCTACAGTCCCATCCACCCTGCCCCCTCCACAATGTGGCGCCATCCACACCCTCCGTTGCTCCCCCCACAAGGCGGGGGCTGCCCCGTGACACTTTCTTCTGCACACTTCCCTGAAGAAAGGCCCCTTCCATTGTCCCTCTGCCCTACCCCCAGAGCCCTATCCCAAGCCTACCTGCCCCACATGGCCCCTTCTCTACCCCACCCCCATAGCCCCATGCTCCCTCTGTCCCACCATAGTCCCGTCCCCCACAATGGTGGGCAGCCCCCCCCGTCCCCTACCCTTTGCACAGGCAGCCCCCCATTTCCCCTTTCTGGTGTGGACAGCCCCCATGCCCACTCCCTGTCAAGAGCAGCCCTCATATCCCCACACCCGGCTCTGGAAGCCCCTTCCCTGCCCCCTAACATAGGAAGCCCCCATGCTCCCTCCCTGCCAGGGGCAGCCCCCCTGCACTCTGGCACAGTCAGGGCCTATTCTCCCCTTCTGGTGCCGTTAGCCCCCATTCCTCCTGTGATGGGTTCCCCCCAGGGTGCCACCTGGAACTGGGGTACCTCTGAGCCCCCTGACCCACCAGCCTGGGCTCCCTTTTACACGGCACTACAAAGCCTTCCAGCCTGCACTTTCACCCTCATACACACAGGTAGGGACACACCCAGCTGCGGTTACATGCAGGCTCTCTGACCAGCCCCTGCATGGGAAAGCTACTCCCAGCTCCTTACCCCCCCCCCCCCCCGGAGTATAAACACAAAATGATATCATCTCGTGCTGCACAGGGAACTCCTACAATTCACCCCCTTCCTCAATGTGGAGAGAAATATGCAAAAGCCTTTTGCCCCTGAGTTATGATTTACACGCACTGGTTTAGATCAGTGGTCTCCAAACTTCTTTGATCGCGCACCTCTATCAGTAAAAAATTTTTGAGCACGCACCTCCTGCCGCGCCGAAGCAGAAAAAAAAGCCGCTCGGACTCCCGCGCCCGACTGCCGAAGCAAAAAAAAAAAAGTGCTCCTCCTGCTGTGCACCCCCAAACATCCTCTTGCGCACCCCCTGGGGTGCACGCTCCCCTCTTTGGAGACCACTGGTTTAGATAAAGCAAAAATAAATGTATTAACTACAAAAGATAGATTTTAAGTGATAGCAAACAGATCAAAGCAGATGACCTAGCAAATAAATAAATAAAAAAAAGCAAACTAAACTTAATATACGAAATAGATTGGATATGAATTAGCAGATTCTCACCCTAAGAGATGATACAAGCAGGCTGCAGATTCTTAAGGGGTAAACTGCATTTGCTTTACAGCTTGGAACCCCCCAGGTGTTCCATTCACAGGCTAAAAATCCCATTAAATTACAGAGATATCTCCTAGAACTGGAAGGGACCTTGGGGTCATCAAGTCTAGCCCCCTACCTTCACTAGCAGGACCAAGTACTGATTTTATGCCAGATCCCTAAGTGGCCCCCTCAAGGATTGAACTCACAACCCTGGGTTTAGCAGGCCAATGCTCAAACCACTGAGCTATCCCTCCAGCACTTCCCCCAATTCAGTCTTTGTTCCTCAAGTGTTTCCAGGAGTCTTCTTGTGTGGGGAGTGAATGAGACCACTCCCTGCCTTATACAGCTTTTGCATATGGAGGGGATCCTTTGTTCCCAAAGCTTGGTTCCCAGACCAGTCTATGGAAAAACACTGACATTCCCAGATGGAGTCTAGAGACATGTGGTCTCATCACATATCCTTGTAGAGTCCTAGCAGCCGTTACACAGAGGCTGTCTGTAGTTCTCAGGAAGGCTCCCCAGGTGGGAGAAAAGCTTCCCCTAAGGCCTATTGTTTTTTTCCTAATGGCTCGTTGCCCTGAATAGACCCTTCCCCACCCACTATCTAGACTGAAAGCATCTTGTCTAGTGGATGTTACCCAGGTGTAACTACATTTGAAATACAGATACAGAGTCAATATTCATCACGAGTCTAAAAGTGACACATGCACACAAATAGGATAATCCTATTCAGCAAATCATAACCTTCTCAATGACATCTCACATGATTAACTTGCATAAAATACATTATGATTATGTCCTAATCATATCACTGTGAAGAATACGGGGTGCAGTGTCACCTCCCCCTCCTGGCACGGGCAGCCCAGGTCACACCATCTCGTTCTGTTTCAGTTTTGGGGTGAACCTGCGGTGCGGGAATGGGGACATCGCCTTCCACTTTAATCCGCGTTTCAATGAGGGCCGCCCGGTGGTTGTATGCAACACCCAGCAGAACGGCTGTTGGGGGGCGGAGGAAAGGACCTACCACTTGCCCTTCCAGCAGGGCATCTACTTCGAAGTGATCATCAACGTCAAGGGCCACTGCTATCAGGTGAGCACACGGACGGCAGCCGGGGTGGATACTCTGCGGCTGGCAGCTGCACCATGGCCCATCAAGGGACACTAGCTCCACAGGGGTGATGGAGGGGAAGCAGGTCCCCTTGCTGGGACAGGACACATCAGCGAGTACCAGTCTGTGGCCTTGAGGGGAGGCCAGTCCAGACCAGTCTGTGCTTCTGGGGTGCCTTGGTGGTGCCACTACATGCAGGGGAGGCAGGTTTGTATAATTTTGGTGGTGCCTAAGGCTCTGAGAGGGAGTTTGGGTGGGGGTTTGGGCTGGGGCAGGGGGTTGGGGTGCAGGAGGGGGCGCAGGGGGCGGGCTCTGGGAGGGAGTTAGGGTGCAGGGTCTGGGCTG